CTGACTCATTGCTCCTTTGATGGAGCTATCCATTCTGTCCCTGGGATTACAGGTGTGAGCCACTGTGCCGGGGGAAGCCAAACACTCTTGTTGGGCCCAAGAAACCCTGTAGACACAGACTGGTTTCTTCCTTCCTTTCTTTCTTTTCTGTTTCGGTTTGGGTTTTTATTGTTGTTGTTTGTTTGTTTTTTAAGTTTTTGACATGCCATGTGACCCATAGACTGTTTTCTGTCTCCCTTAACTTAGGGGTCTCCTTTGAGGGTTCTCAGGCTGCAGGAGGGTGGCACATGCCAGGCTGGGTACCCGTGGACGATGGCGTACAGGGTCTGGGTCTGGCCTAGCCTGGCTGGCTTCATTCTCTTCCAGCACTAGCCCCCAGCAGTGTTCTCTTGGGCAAGTCACTTAACCTCTCCRTCCTTCATCTTACCTATCAGATGGAGATAATGACAGTGCTCCTCATTCTGCCTTTGTGAGGAGTCAGTAAGTTCCTTGACACAAAGAGCGCACTCAGGCACTTACACGTTACTTACAAAACCACCATCAACAATAAAACTTGACCCAGCACTGAGATCCAAGGCCCAGAGCCCTGTAGGCTCCTACTGTATGGGAACCCAGAGCTGCCTGCCCATTCAGGGTTAAGACTTTGGGTTGCTCTCTCCCCTCCACACTTACCTCGCCTGGTCCATCATGAACATTATGGAGCATCCTCTGAGCTAGGTGGCAGCACAGCCCAGCCCTGCTTCTTAACGGCCGTGTGTCATTGAGACAGATTTTTCCAGCCTCAGTCTCCTCGTCTGTGAAGTGGGTAGAAGAACATCTGTGGGGCTCTCCCCACAGCTGTGGAGGATCAAGCCTGGAAGTGCTTTGTAAACCTGAGTGTGGGTGCAGATATGAGAAACTGTCCTGAGCGCGTGGCTTCCCTTGCCCTCACCCCCCAAGAGAGGTAGCAAGTAGCTACATCCAGCCAGTTACCAAGCCCAGGGAAGAGGACGGTGTCTGTCTTCAGGTGGGCTCTGTCCAGATGGTAGAAGGCAGAGCCCACCCTGTTCCTGGGTGGTGGAGCCCCAGGCACTACCACCCCTTCCCGTGGTGCACAAGGCACGGGGAGGGGAGGAGATTGCAGAAACATGCTGAAGGTCAGGGTCTCGGTGTGCGTCGGCCTGGAGGGGGGTGGGCAGGTCCAGGCGGCCTCTGTTGGAARCCTCTGGAGAGGAAGCGTGGCTGGGGTTCCCAGTAGACTTGGCGGGCATTCTAGAGATCAGTTAGGCAGAGTACACACACATCCTTTGATGGAGCAGTCCATTCTGCCCCCAGACATACGTGTGAAGACATTCTCACACCAGTCCTTAGGAACAGATGGGGGCCCCCTGAGTGTCCGTGCTGTCACAGTAGAGAGGAAGCAAGGGGACACACTGCATTGGACATTCGACAGCAGCCAAAGGCAGCAGTCTGTGTGCACGGGGCCTTGGGGCTGGATGGGACACCACGAAGCACTGTTATACCAGGCATGAATACCCTTCCCCCAAGGGGACCAGGACTTATTGGAGAAATGGCTGACCCTGGGGCTGCCGCAGGGAAAGGCTCACAGTGAGACTTACTAGAAAGTAATGAAGTCGCCAGGCACGGTGGCGCACACCTGTAATCCCAGTGGCTCTGGAGGCTGAGACAGAAGGATCACAAGTTCATGGCCAACCTCAGCAATTTACCGAGGCCCTAGGCAACTTGGTGAGACTCTGTCTCAAAATGAAAAATAATAAGGGCTGGGATATAGYTCAGTGGTAGATTGTCCCTGGGTTAAATCCCCAGTATACAGTCAATCAACCAAGGAAGGAAGGAAGTATATCCCCCAAATGCTGGAAGCATGTCAAAAATCACAGGAAGGGCCAGTGGTAGACCGCATTCCTGGCACGTACAGGGCCCTGGGTTCAGTGCCTAGCACTGAAGGAAGAACAGACCTAGGACCCAAGTTGACAGGGTTCCCACTGGACAAGCCTGGGACAGTTTTAGCACCAAACGAATGCTAGTTAAATTGTAAATCACCAGATGCGCAGGGTTCCATGTTGGTAATAAATAGAGGAGGGAAGGCGGGCTTTCCTTAGTGTCAAGGTTCTGTTCGTGAGGGAACRATCATAATTTTGCAAACACCATAAAGATCAGATTGGCAAGAATCAGCAGTGGAAGCTAAATCCAGGGCAATGGAGGCTAAATGTTGGTGAACAGCAGGCTATTTACCTGCTCTTGAAAGTATTCCCACAGACTTCTTGATAGCGGCGGGGGAGGGGGGAGAAAACAGCAGTAATGCAGTAATTGTGCAGTGGAGAAATGGAGAAATCGCGCACCACTCTGACTAAGTGATCAGAACACAAATTAAAGATGGACTCCATGTGCCCCTCAGTGTGATGTCCCAAGGAGGACACCCGCTGTGAGTCCTTCAGGCTGAGGATGCCTCCCCCCTCCCCCCATCTCATCATGACAAACACCAAATCAAAGACTCTCCATCTTTCAGATGAGGAAACTAAGACCCAGGGCGGGTGGTAGAGTTGGTAAAGCCGGGGCCTCAGTTGGGTTTATTAATTTCCGAGTCTGTCCTATGCTACGCTGCCTCTTTGTTTAGAAATCTGTCTGTTGGACCTTGAATTAATCAGATCATTATATTTGTCACCAAGTGGCATTTGGGATGAGTCTTGAGAAGTGCCCTCGTATCTTTGCATAAATTGAGTGGCTGACAATTTGAAGYTTGATTTCCACTGGAGCAGTAACAGGAGATCGGTTTGTTTTGATTCCAGAGAACATTTCACCCTTGGATGTTGACCCCCGGGCCCAGCTGGGAACTTCCACAGAGCTTGGACAGGGCAGTGACATAGGACAGGCACGGTGTCCAGGGTCCAGAGTCCTGATAAAACCAAGTTTTTCACTGACTTCCTTCGGTGAAGCCACGTTAGTCCTGGCTCCTCCTGTGGGGACTCCCCAGGGGCATAATGGACTGGATTATGTGGCAGAGAATGGTGTTCCCATGGTCAATAAGAATTTCCACTTGCCTAGAGCAAATGATATCCTATGCTTTTATTACCATGTCAAAATGAATCCTAATGTTATCTATAATTAAAAAGGACTAAATTTTTTTTTCCACAGGCACCCTCTTTTCTCTCAGTAGAAGTGTTCTTAACTTCATGCATATAATATTCTTGGAGGTGTTAAGATATGATTTGCTTTTTTGTTTGGTACTGGGGTGCTTTCTCACTGAGCTACATCCCCAGCGCTTTTTATTTTATTTTATTCATTTTTTAAAATATTTTTTTAGTTGTAGAGGGACACAGGATATCTTTGTTTATTAACTTATTTTTCATGCAGTGCTGAGGATGATCCCAGTGCCTCACACATGCTAGGCAAGCGCTCTGCCCCTGAGCCCCAGCCCCAGCCCCCCTTTTTATTTTTTATCTTGAGACAGGGTTTTGCTAAGTTGCTGATGGACTTGCTAAGATGCAAGAGACTAGCCTTGAATTTGAGATCCTCTTGCCTCAGCCTCCAAACGACTGGGATTACTGGCATGTACCACTTCGCCCTCCTAAGATGTAATTCATATGCCATACATTTCACACATTTGAAGTGTACAATTCAGTGGGCGTAGCATAGCACAGTGTTAATTTTTAAGATTTCGACACTATAAAGAACAAAGTTTGCCATTTTATTAAAAAATTTTTTTTTAGTTGTCAGTAGATCTTTATTTATGTGTGGTGCTGAGAATCGAACCCTGTGCTTCACACATGCTAGGCAAGCGCTCTACCACTGAGCTATGACCCCAGCCCCAAATTTGCCATTTTAACCATTTTTAAGCCTGTCACTCAGTGGCAATAATTATCTTGTTGGTGCCATGTACTTATTATCACTGTCCATTTCCAAACTGTTTCTGTCACCTTAACAGAAATTGTAACCACTCCCCATTGCTCCTTCTCCCAGCCACTGGTCATGTGGACTGTACTTTCTGAGTTGGTGAGTTGGGCTATTCTACATTCCTTATAAGTGGGGTCACACAGTATTTGCCCTTCTGCACTTGTCTTCTTTCATTAGCATGTCAGACCCGCTGACAGTCTGTAATTCCTGGTACAGCAGAGATGCTTAAGACAGAGACCACACACACACACACACACACACACACACACACACACACACACACACTCAGTAGAAAATGAGCACTATCTTTACTTTTTTCTCTCCTTCTTTTATACAGCATTGTTAATTAAAACAAAGGGAAAGAAAAAACATCCTTTCAGCAGCTTAATCCTTACAAGCATGGATAAATGCTTTTTCCATTCTCAGGAAAACTTTGTTTATAGTCACAGTGCTCCGTGTTTCTTATCAATTAACTTGTGGTTAGTTATTCCCAGGCAAACACACACACAAACACACACACAAACACACACACACACATATAAAATTTTACACTTGGCAGATCATTCTTTTATCTTCTTAAGACAGCAACAAGGACACAGTTCAAAGAGTTCATTCTTTCTCACAGAACTCCTTGTTTTGCTAAGCACAGCAAAACTTAACACTTTGTGTGCGTGAGCACACATTAGCACAGCATTTTCAAGTTTCATCCATGATAAGACATGTATCAGAATTTTCCCCTTTTTATGGTTGAGGTTATTCCATTACGTGCACACACCACATTTTTGTTTCTCCTTGAGGCTGYTATGGATTGTGCTGCTAGGAACATTCACGAAATAGCCTTTGAGGACCTTGTCTTTAACTCTTTCAGTTCCACCTAGAAGTCAGATTGCTGGTTTATGTAGCAATCCTATGTTTAACCTTTGAGAAAGCCCCTTCTTATTTGGAAGGATGCTKCCCTCCATGGCCCACGGGCACCAGGTGCTGAGCCCCAAGGGCAGGGGGCAGGGAGAGCCGCCCCTCACCGCCATGTGRTCCGAGTCTTGCTGCTGCACCGTCCTCTGCCCCGCCTACCTGCCCCCACCCCCTCTGACCTGTCCCTCTCTCCCCAGCAGATGTGCCCGTGGAGAAGCTGGCCRCCATGCCCGCCCTGCGCAGCGTCAACCTCCGCTCCAACCCTCTGAATGCCGAGGTGCGCGTGATCGCCCCGCCACTCATCAAGTTTGATATGCTCATGTCTCCAGAGGGTGCACGGGCCCCTCCACCTTAGACCACCCTCCTCATTACCATCCCAGGGACAGAGGCCATTGGCCTGTCACCTGAAAGGAGGGAGGCCCATGGGAGGCTAAGCTGGGGGGCTGAGGGTGGGTAGGCCAAACAGAGTATGGCGGGAGTGGGGTGCAGCGAGTCCARGATAGCTAGTTTAGAGCAGTAGAGGCCCTAGAGCATTGAGAAGGAGGAGACTGAGTGGGGGCTGGAGCCTGGATAGTGGGCACACAGCTGCTGTGCAAACTTGGGCAGATCCCCTACCCTCTCTGAGCCTTGTTGCTTGGGAAGAGGGATCCTAGCAGAGGGCTTTGGCCTCCTTTAGAGTTCTTGGAGGTTTTAGCTTCAAATCACCAGGCGCCCTCTGAGCCTGCAGATGAGTGCAGCTGAGCATCTTCTGGGCCTCCKTGGGCTGGAGGCCTTGTTTCTAGTGCTGAGAGCCAATGGCTTCCCTGAGAGGAGTGGAAGACAACCCTCCACCTGCTGCTTCCTGAGAACTGAGGATGAAGCCTTTCGCCATGCCCCTCCTCCACCTGGCTCCCTGGGCCAGCAGGAGCCTGAGCTGGAGACCCGGGAAGGCCGTGGCCTCGAACAGGGCAAGACATTCTGCAGACGCCATGCACCCTGAGGATGGACCCTGGGGAGAAATCCGGGCAGCTCTGTCCTTCCTTGTGATGAACACTGAGTGGGCAGGAAGTTCTGAGCACTCCACACCTCCCCGGGGGAAGGACTGTCCAGCTGTGCCTGGTCCTCACCCCTGAGCTGCAGGAGAGGTGGCCCAGGGACAACAATGCCATTTGTCTGTGACTATGGTCCGAGTAATTAGCTGCCCCCCCCCCCCATGGTCTCTCTCCCTTGTCATGGCCCCTTGGGGGCAGAAGACACTGCGGATCGTTGGCTCCAGAGCTACCACCCTGCTGACCTAGCCATTGTGAGGTCCTCACCTGGAGTCTAGGGTTTGGCCAGGCAGTATGGTGACCAGCCATCCTGGCTTGTCAGGGACTGAGGGTTTCCTGGGATGTGGGGCTTTCAGTGCTAAAACTGGGGCAAGTCGAGTTGGCAGGCCCCCCACCTGGGGCTCTTGCTTTCTGGTAAACAGTGCTTTGGAGAACCCCGACTTCCTGATGCCCCAGGTGGCTACATCTCACTTTCTCATGGGAGGAGCAAGGGCTTCCCCAGAGCCCACCTGCTCTGCACCTAGGTGTGGATCTGTGCAGACCCCTGAGGCCTTGGGCAGAGCTGGGCCACTTTACCACACCTACAGTCCGGCTCTCCAGAGGTCTGACCACCAGTCAGAGCAGTAGCCTGTCTCAGAGGCGCCCCATGTGCTTCCCTCTTCCAGGTCTCCTGTCTTGGCAAGGAGCTGACATTGTTGGTCACTGAATACTTAGTGTCCCAAGAGAGAGACCTTGTCCATTCTGCTCWTATCTCAAGGCCTTCCTGTCCTTCTGAAAGAGGGTTTCCAGGGCTGCTGAGTTCAGCTGTGGACGCTGGGCAGGTGGGGGCTACAGTGCAGCCCGGGCTGGGCTGCCCCCCTCCCCCTGTGCTCTGGAGCCTCTCTCCTGGTGGAAGAGGCCATCTCATGGCCAGAACCTTGCACTGCGAAGCATGATCTGAGGGCCAGCAACGGCTGCATCACCTGGGAGCTTGTTTGCAACGCAGGATCCCGGGCCCACCCCAGTCTTCCTGCAGCAGAATCCRCAATTTAACAAGATTCCCAGCTGATTCCTACAACTATGTTTGAGAAATGAGGGCCTAGGGGTGACCCTGGGCATGTCCTTGGGTTGGAGGGCAAAGGCTTTCTCGGTTCTCCCCTGCCAYCCCCAGGGATGTGAGTCTGGGCTCAGCCTCCTTCAACCCAGCYCTGGGAGACCCGTAGCCTCTTGGATCTCTCCAGAGTCTGCACGACACTCCCTTTGAAGGGGGTGATCGCATCGCCAGGAGATGAGGGYTGGGCGTGCGTGGCCACCTGGATCCTACCCCTGGTTCACCCCTGCATGCCAGGCGGCCTGCTCCAGGTCCTATCCCYGGCCCTGTGAGAGGCTGCTTCCGGAAGTTCCTTCTACTCTGCTTGGACAGCATGCCCTTGCCTCCCTGGGAAAGCCTGGGCAGTCGGAGGAGCTCCCAAATCCAGGCTCACGGTGTGGGCGAGCCCTTAGCTTCAGTCTGCAATAAAGAACGTGTTGGCTCCTCCTGCCTCCCGGTGGAGTTTGATGGGCTCTCCTGACACAGACCACCAGGAGCCCAAGTGTCACCAGCCCACTGCCAAGAGGGGCTGTTCCTCTGGTGRAAACACAAGGGAAAGGAAGCTCGGAGGGGACCCTCAGAATAGCCCYGTGTGGGTGGAGGCGCATCAAGCGGAGTGGATGCCTCCCCGAGGAAGGATGAAGGGACCTGCTCTCCCCACGACGCCCTTAGTGGTGCCAAACACTTTGCCCATAGTAATTCATTCCTCTGGGTCCCTGGTTCTCAAAGAAGGGTCTCTGGGGAGGCAGCAGGAGCTCACAAAGGAGCTGTTTAGAARTAGAAATCCTCAGGCCAGGCTCRGGGGTGCAGGCCTGTAATCCCAGCGACTAGGGAGGCTGGGGAAKGAGGATCGCAGGTTGGAGACTGTAATGAGACCATTTCATAAAAGAAGAGAGTGGGGCAGACTGGGGATGTAGCTTAGCACCCCAGGTTCAATCCCTAGTACAAAAACTAATTTAAAAA